AAATGTTAGTACAAAACACTCATTCGGTCGCAAATAAGCACGTATGATAATAACAACTTATTTACTTACAGTGAACTGGAGCAACCAAGCCTTGCTAGGCCCGACTGTAGAGTACGGAGGAATGGTGGTGGTCGGTCCTAGGTGTGGAAGGCGCATCACCTGCTCGAAGCGCGCAGTGATATCCTCCTTCCACCCAAAAACACCGTCCACGGGACCAACTGCTGCTCCCGCCAGCGGTAGCCCGAGCAGGTACGACACGTCCTGCAGTGTCGGAGCCATCTCCCCACAGGGAAGGTGGAACGTGTGCGTCTCAGGTCTCCAGCGGTCTACAAGAGCGGCAAGGAGTGACCGGTCTGCATCCCACCGCTTCGCTGGGTCACGGTCGTCCGCCGCCGCCTCAACAAGCCTACAAAGTGGTAGAAGGCCTGCCGCACGCAACCTGTATAGAGCAAACTTCAAACATAAGTACAACACAAAGCAAAGTTGAGTTGAAATGTGAACATACGCGTACCAAGGAACGTGACGGGGGTCGACACGCAACCACTCGCGCGACGTGCGTGGACGGAAGGTGCCGAGCTGTGCACCCTCGACTGCTGACAGGAACGAGCGGTGGTTCCTGTCAATCCCACGGTTCAACAGCGCCGGTGTGTCGTACGCCATACCTGCATCAAATAGGTTGATCAGAAACATATAAATAATTAGTTCAACATAAGTAATAAATGTTCATAAGCGAATTACTAACACATATTAAACAAGAGTACAAACAAACAAAAGTGTTTAGTCCGAACACTCATCACGATAACATTATGATACAACACCGAATAGTTCGCAATACTACTAGTACAACAATAGTCGGAGGTACTCATTACAACAACATTGAATTGAAATTACACGATAGAAGTATTTAGTCTGAACACTCATTACATCACAACAGCATTTTATTTCCTAAATCGAAAGCATTGTTACACCATGGAATCGCCTGCTGCGCGACGACGCCTTGGCCTTGCGCGCCTGCTTGTTGTTCCTTCACCAGGTGGTCGCCTACCATCACTTGCCTGTCCAGATGGACTAGCATCTGCGCCGCTTGGAACTTCTGCATTCTTCGGGCATTTCTTGTAAGTATGGCCGCGCAGATCACACTTGCTGCAGCGTAAAGTCCTCCCACCTGCTTCTGACTCATCCATATCATTTCTGATGCGTCTAGTTTGGCGTCGACCCTTTTTCACCCTTAACTTAGATGGATCTGGAATATAAAAAACTTGGGCACTCAGCGTTGTGTAAGATCCTGAGATCCCGAACCCATATATCTCCTCACTCCATGTATGAAAGATTGCTTCTTTCCTGAAATAATTTGAGACGTACACATTGGGAGATATGCCACAATCACCGGCAGCAGCAAGAACGTGTGAGCAAGGAAGGTGATGAAGCTTCGGCTTCATACAACTGCAGGTACATCCACCATCCGCCTTCAAGACACATTCCTGCACGGCTTGCTTGCGATAGATACCACGCCTGCTCCTATCAACACACATTATTTCATACCGATGCACTTGTGTGCCTTGAGCAACAACTCGATGTCTCCGTGCCTTTTTGATTTTATCTTCCATGTACTTTGTCACTACATTGCCAAACACTATGTTGTTATCGGCCATGGACGGACCAATTTTCTTGTATCGATCCCTAAAGTACGCTTGCGTGCCGTGAAGGATGAATTCAACAATAGCAACCAATGGAAGTACCCGAACTCCTCGCATTACCCAGTTGTACACCTCTGCCAAATTGGTTGTCATTATGCCATACCGAGATCCATCGGTGTCGAACAATAGAGACCACTTCTCCTTAGGCTCATTCTCAATCCACTGAGTGAAATTTCTGATGGACGACCCTGACCTCCTTCTCATTGTTGGTGGGTCATCATGTAATGCACCAAGAGGTATGGGAGGCTCGTCACCTTCAACTAGTGGTCTGCGAGATTGCTCATCTGTTTGCTTCGTTGTCAACTCATCTAACTTGTCCCACAACTCATTAAATTTCTTCTCTTGGTTCTGTGCACAGAGCCTCTTAAAGAGCTCCATAAGATGCTTGTTCTTGAATTGCTTGTAGAAATTTGCACCCATGTGACGCATGCACCACCGACTCCGAACATCAGGCCACTTAGCTGGAAGTCCCTTCTCATCCCAACCGTTCTGCAAGTAGTCAATAGCCCGCAACATACCCGCATGACGATCATGTATAAGGCAAACGTTGAGCCTCATACGCACCACTGCAATGTGCACTCTCTCTAGGAACCAGTACCAGCTTTCAGTGTTCTCACTCTCTACAAATGCAAAAGCCATAGGTAGAACCTGGTTGTTCCCATCACACCCAATTGCTGTCAATATCTGATCTCGGTATTTACCTGTCATAAAAGTTCCATCTATGCATAGAACAGGTCGACAATGCACAAAAGCATTGATGCAAGCACCCAATGAGAAAAAGGCTCTTTGCAGCACACTCTTTGTTCGATCATCAACCGATGTAAATGTATGTAGGTCATAGTACGTATTATTATTCCTCTGGGCAATGGTGGCTAACAAACGAGGCAAATTATCATAAGAAGCTTCAAATGTGCCATACCTCATCTCAATGATCTTTTGTTTGGCTCTCCAGGCCTTTGCATAGCTTATGGTGTACTTGAATTTGTTCTCGATGTGCCTAATAATTGATTTTGGTTCAAAGCCAATGTTACCAACAACACTGCTGTACATCTCACTTGCCACAGAAGCTGAAGTGATGTTTCGGTGATACTTCTCCACCCCTTGTAAGTAGCACTTGTGCTCGGTCACAATGCTAACTTTCCAATAATCATTCCATTTACCCTTATATGCATGGACACGCCACGGACAATCTTCCTTCATGCACCTCACTTCATACACATAATTTGTTGACTTGACCACCCTAAACTCTCTCTGCAAGGAAACTGCCCAATGCTTCACCGCCTCCTTCATCTCATCCTTATGAGCATACCTTGCACCCTCAATTACCTCGTTCTCCTTATACTCCCAGGGTACATGATCACCCTCTGATATAACAAGTCCAGAGAAGTCCTCATTTGCCCAATCAGTGGCCATTACATCACCTTCCTCATCGGATGATGCGTCGTCGTCCGCTTCCTCATTATCCGAATCTTCCCTCTCCATTTCATCAACAATTATACCGACTCTCTCCCCCTCATCCGCCATGCCCATAGCCTGCTCCTCCCTTGGTTGATTTTCCTCATTTTGCATCGATGGTCCAACAACATCCCCTGCATTGATAGGACCCTCTACATCTTCGGTTTGCATTGAAACATTTATATCTTTCTCTTGTACCGACACAAATATAACGAGGGGCCATGACCGTTCAAAAGCCATTTCCACATACCGTCTCCAAGCATCAGTGCTGTCCATCGGCATTAGTTCCCAAAAATAACCTTCTGTTGCACGACTCACTACAACTGACACTGACATTGTGTAGACTTCTTGGTCTATTCTAAATCCTCTCAACAACCAACTATAAATTGACTGAAATGTTCTCTCCGCAGGCCTATCGATGCCCTTAGATGTCATTACAAAATCTGACAGATCAACACCATCTGGACCAAATCTAATATTTCCTTCACCGTGAACTATCTGAAATGTGACCTTACTTGACATTGTGCCTGATGAAAACAATAACTGCGTTAACCTCGCATTTCTGTACTACGCCCTAAGTTACATTCTCTACAATATTGTTCTCTAAATTTCTAAAATTACGATACATTCTCCAGATCAAACTAAACTACATCTTACAATTAACACTACTGTCTATGTCTCAATTCATACTATTATATTCTATGCTCTGGATCTACACATATGTGCTGTGTGCTACAGATGTGCTAAAATATATGGAACTAAAACTAAAACGCAACTTATATACTCAAACATAACATATTAGTACAAATGCAAAAGATGTATGGGAGCATACCTGTGATGAATTGAGCGAACCAGCAGGGCTTCGCCGCTCCCCTTCTGCTGCCCTCCCCTCTCTCTCTTTCGTTTTTTTTGGATTTTTAGTGAATATAATGAAATTTCACAGAGGAGGGACTGGGCTTTATAGGGGGAGAGGCAAAAATCGCCCTCCCCCAGGGCGGCAAGGGGGCCGCCTGCAAAATTCCATGCCCCCTCGCCGCCCATTTGCAGGCGGCCCCCCCCACAGTACAAAATCGCCCTAGCGGAGGGCGGCAAGGGGGCCGCCTGCAAAATTCCATGCCCCCCCTCGCCGCCCATTTGCAGGCGGCCCCCCGCACAGTATAAAATCGCCCTAGCGGAGGGCGGCAAGGGGGCCGCCTGCAAATTTCGTTGACGGCCGTCGCCCGAGAGCGAACGGCCGTCTGCCACGTCATTTTCGCCGCCCTCTGAGAGGGCGATTTTTCCCAGAGGGCGGTAGGCGACTACTTCCGTCAATTTTCAAAATGGAAAATTATTTTTGTAAAACTTTTAATAAAAAAATTATAAATAAAAAAAATTCTCCATAGTACTTGCAGGGGAAGCTCGCGAATCATAAAATTCCCCAAGATCGGTACGGTTCCTTTTTCCCTGTTTTTTTGAAATTTTTCCCTCCTCTTGATTTAGTGTCGTGTCAATTTGCTAGTGGCCAGGTTGTTTATTTTATGTTTGTGTGTCACAAAGATGTTTGCCCAATTTGATGCTTGTTTGCATATGCATTCTTGTGCTTTCCCGAATTGTTAACTACTGTCAAGTACAATCCCAACTTTTATTTATTGATGTGAAGGCCTTTAATAGTACTCCCTCCATCCTAAAACGTTCGATGCTATTGACTTTTTTTTTAAAAAAAATATTTGACCGTTCGTCTTATTAAAATAATTTAAGTAATTATTAATTATTTTCATATCATTTAATTTATTGTTAAATATATTTTTATGTATACATGTAGTTTTACCTATTTTATAAAAGTTTTTAATAAAACGAACGATCGAAAACTTATCTGCTAACCGCGCGGGCACTTCTAGTCTAGTAAGCGAAAGCCCACGCGCGATGACCCACGCCGCCCACGCGCTATGCAACCGCTACGCCGCCATCCTCTCCTCCGCCGCCGGCGACGGCGGCCGGACCGGGGTTCGCGTGGCCGGCGCTGTGCACTGCCTCATTCTCAAGACGTTTCTCCAGGCTCCCCCAACCTTCCTCCTCAACCACCTCCTCACCGCCTACGCCAAGTCCGGCCGCCTCGCCCGAGCCCGCCGCGTGTTCGACGAAATGCCCGACCCCAACCTCTTCACCCGCAACGCCCTCCTCTCGGCGCTCGCCCACTCAAGGCTCGTCCCGGACATGGAGCGCCTCTTCGCCTCGATGCCCGAGCGGGACGCCGTCTCCTACAACGCGCTCATCACCGGCTTCTCCAGCACCGGCTCTCCTGCCCGGTCGGTCCAGCTGTACCGCGCGCTGCTCCGGGAGGAGAGCGTCAGGCCAACCCGGATTACTCTGTCGGCGATGATCATGGTCGCTTCGGCTCTCTCCGACCGCGCGCTTGGCCACTCGGTGCATTGCCAGGTACTGCGGCTTGGGTTCGGGGCATATGCTTTCGTTGGGAGCCCGTTGGTCGATATGTATGCCAAGATGGGCCTCATTAGGGATGCCAGGCGGGTGTTTCAAGAAATGGAGGCCAAGACTGTGGTCATGTACAATACCTTGATCACAGGGCTGCTCCGCTGCAAGATGATCGAGGATGCAAAGGGTTTGTTTCAGCTGATGGTGGACAGGGATTCCATTACTTGGACTACGATGGTTACAGGACTGACTCAGAACGGTTTGCAGTTGGAGGCTCTTGATGTTTTCAGGAGAATGAGGGCAGAGGGTGTTGGCATTGATCAGTACACTTTCGGAAGCATTCTTACAGCCTGCGGTGCCCTTGCTGCCTTGGAAGAAGGGAAGCAGATACATGCCTACATAACTCGGACTTGGTATGAAGATAATGTCTTTGTCGGGAGTGCGCTTGTTGACATGTACTCCAAGTGCAGGAGCATCAGATTGGCAGAGGCTGTTTTCAGGAGGATGACATGCAGAAACATCATATCGTGGACTGCGATGATTGTTGGATATGGACAGAATGCTTGCAGTGAGGAGGCTGTCCGGGCATTCTCAGAGATGCAAATGGATGGCATTAAGCCTGATGATTTCACTCTAGGCAGTGTTATAAGTTCTTGTGCTAATTTAGCAAGTCTGGAAGAGGGTGCACAGTTCCACTGCCTAGCACTTGTCTCAGGGTTGATGCGGTACATTACAGTGTCCAATGCACTAGTTACCTTGTATGGGAAGTGTGGCAGCATTGAGGATGCACACCGCTTATTTGATGAGATGTCCTTCCACGATCAAGTCTCCTGGACTGCTCTTGTGACAGGGTATGCTCAATTTGGGAAGGCAAAAGAAACTATAGATTTGTTTGAGAAGATGTTGGCAAATGGCTTGAAGCCTGATGGGGTAACATTTATCGGTGTCCTTTCTGCTTGTAGCCGTGCAGGACTTGTAGAGAAAGGGTGCGACTACTTTGATTCCATGCAGAAGGACCACGGTATTGTTCCTATAGATGATCACTACACTTGTATGATTGACTTGTACAGTAGATCAGGGAGGTTCAAAGAGGCTGAGGAATTCATAAAGCAGATGCCACACAGTCCTGATGCCTTTGGATGGGCAACATTGCTGAGCTCGTGTAGGCTGCGTGGGAACATGGAGATTGGCAAGTGGGCAGCTGAGAATCTCTTGGAAACTGACCCACAAAACCCTGCCAGCTATGTGTTGTTGTGTAGCATGCATGCTGCTAAAGGTCAATGGACTGAAGTCGCTCATCTTAGACGTGGAATGAGGGACAGGCAGGTGAAGAAGGAACCAGGCTGCAGTTGGATCAAGTACAAGAACAAAGTTCACATATTTTCAGCCGATGACCAATCCCACCCCTTCTCCAGTAGAATATACGAAAAGCTAGAGTGGCTCAACTCAAAGATGGCTGAAGAAGGATACAAGCCTGATGTCAGCTCGGTGCTGCATGATGTGGCAGATGCTGATAAGGTTCACATGATTAGCCATCACAGCGAGAAGCTAGCAATTGCCTTTGGCTTAATCTTTGTTCCACAAGAAATGCCAATTCGGATTGTCAAGAATCTACGGGTATGTGTGGATTGTCACAATGCTACCAAGTTCATTTCTAAGATAACTGGCCGTGATATTCTTGTGAGGGATGCTGTCAGATTTCACAAGTTTAGTGATGGCACGTGCTCGTGCGGAGACTTCTGGTAGTCATCCTGTCAATCCAGCTGACAGCCCACATTCTTCTAGTACGAAATACGAACCAGAGTTTTCAGCCTACTTGAAGAAAGGAAAAGGGTTAATCAAGGTCAAATTTAGATCAAATTCTTTGGCTTTCCTGAAATGGGAGAAGGGATCGCTGCGAGCTCCTCCGGTCAGAGCCATTGGCTTTGAGCCATCCAGGTCCTCTCACTTTGCAAGCTCAATAGCTGATATCCATTCTCTAATTGAGTTTTTCTGTGTGTTGTTTTTTTGCACTGACATTTTTCTGTAAATTTCTTCAGTTCAATCCAAGTATATAGATCATAATATCTCCAAGGAAGAATTTTTTTCTTGCTTGGATCCGTTAGTGCAGTCAGTAGATGAAGTAGGGAGGGAAGCTACTGCTGCATTTCCTAGCTCACTCTGTAGTTCATAAAGCAGAAAATGTCACTGGTAAAAGGGAAGTATCACCTCCTGAGAAGAAAGGTCAGCATCTCGTTGATTCCTTCTATGATCCAATGTAATGCCTGTCATAGAAATATCCTCTTAAAAATGTAAATAAGATGAGAGCTTTTTACTAAATTGGCTATAAAATTGCTCAAAGAGGACATGTTCCTTGAAATCCTACTCAACTCAGATTTGCCTAGCAAAACCGGTTGATATCATTTTGAATTATTTTGCAAAAAAAAAGAGGCTTTGAATCCATATGCTTCTTTGCTTGACAGTGTTTATGTCAGAATCAGTCAGATATTTACGACAAATATTAAGGACTGCATTATGACTGGTTCCATGTATCTGAATAGTACTAAATATACTGTACCTTTATTGTCTATCCACACACACCTGCCTCATGATATATTTGCTAATTTACTGAACAAGTTTTTTATCTCAGGGTAATCTTGTGTATCTCACCCTTCAAAGAAGGCTTTCGAGGGAGGAGTTCAAGGAGGTCGCTATCCATACTCAAAGACATTGGCTAGGCTGCAAGGACTAAAACCTGCAAATTATGATCGATACACCACACTCGCAGCAGCAGCCTAGGTAGTCGAATTCTAGAAAAACTCAACCGCATATGTACATGGATGCAAAATAGTTGGTACACACAATTGCGGTTAGTGCATATATTTCTTCTTTTTTAGTTTTAAATTATTGTTAGGTACTCAGGTGCTACATTTATGTCAATGTCTTATTAATTTCTTATCCATAAGCTTAATCACACCACCCATGAGATAAAAAAATAGTGTTACTACTCAATGAAAAGAGTAGGTCTCAAGCTGTTATTTTTTATTTTATTTTTTTGCTTTTATGGTAGGATCATATTGTATAGAAGCACCAACGGGATAAAGTAATTTGAGGCTTCCAGCACCTATCAATATCAATTTTGTCATTTATATGCTGATTTCTTTCATATGACCTTGGGCATTGATTTCTGCAGAAATACATAAAGATATAGCTATTTACTGCTGTCACTAATATGCTTTCCTTTGCAATAAACTAATATGCTTTCTTGGATGATTTCCCTAAAAAACGAATCTTAGAAACTTTAGTTTCCAAGTAAATTGGCTGCTTTTTAAGCATAAGCCCTTTTTTGTTATTTATTATCTTCTGAAAAACCACAGGACACTAGAACCGTCATTAAATTTTATTGCTACGCCGTTTTGATGAACTTATGCAACTTGCGCACTACATGTGGCCATGAGTATGGTCTCAAATAGACATCTTGGCAATTGGTCTTTTAACATCTTGGCAATTCTTATTTGAGCCAACAACCTTAAGTCTTCTCTTTCTTTAGAATTCATGACTTCTATTATAATACATGCATTATGTTTTGCTCTTCAAGACAGAGGTTTACAAGGGCACTTGTATTTGGGCATCTAGATTGATAGCAAACATGAGAACTATTGTGACAAAAACTGAAAGTTCTAGCCCTATAACAACTTATCCTTCTTGCCTCATTTGCAAGTTTATCAGCAACTTCATTTGCCCTTGTAGGAATCCATTTGACCTGCAATTGCTGATCCTGCAAATTTTGTTGAAATTTTGATAGGAGCGGCCTCAAGCTCCAATATCATAGATTCTCCTGAAAATTATTTTGCTTGAAGATAGTAGCAATTGTTGTGTTATCAGTGAGAAGATCACATTCACCAAGCTGAGAAGACTGCAGATTTTTAAGGCTACCCAGAGATCTGTAAGCTCAGCCTGCAAGGGGAAGTAGAATTCACACTAATAGCTTTTAGCCAGATGGCAGCCTGGGATAACTGGATCATGTACAAAAAGATCAATTCCTGTTTTGTTATCCACACACAAATCAATCAACGTAGCACCAAATATACCTGCAGGGATGGGAGATAAGTTTGTGACTTCTACTTGCTGTTGTTCCTTGTTGGCAGTATTACCTGTTTCTTCCAAAGTTGCTTCTTTCTCATATGCATAAATCATTGCCTGAGCTGCATGGCATACCTGCAGAGGTTCCCAATTTTTTGGATTTGAAATTCAAATCGTTCCTAGCGTTCCAGATTTGCCGTGATATTCTTGTGAGGGATGCTGTCAGATTTCACAAGTTTAACAATGGCACGTGCTCTTGCGGAGACTTCTGGTAATCATCCTGTCAATCCAGCTTACACCCCCACATTCTTCTAGTATGAAATATGAACCAGAGTTTTCAGCCTACTTGAAGAAAGGAAAAGGGTTAATCAAGGTCAAATTTAGATCAGATTCTTTGGCTTTCCTGAAAGTCTGCACCTGAAAGTAAGAATTCTCATGTTCCCTGCAGGTGCAGGGTTGAAAAGAGGTGTGTTTATGAAATCATAATTCTGTGTTTCAGGAAGGTAGTTCTGATTAGCCTTTGTTAAATTAGTTACATGGTGGTTGCCTGGTTGGGAGGCAAGTTTTGACAGCACAGCAGAAGTGCCAATCCACATTTTCTAGCATTAATTTGACATGAAGAAAAGTATGGTGGTCGCTGCCTCATGTTCAAATCCCTGCTGAGAGAGAGACGAAGGAGAATGGCAAACCAAATAATTGAAAAATTCGTGTACTGCCTAGAAAACTGGACACATTGACATGCAGATGCAGCACTACCCTTTTGCTTTATAGCAGTTTGTGTTGGCGGTCATGTCTTCTTGATATAAAGATGGAAATTTGTGCTGAACCACCTCACAAAGTCACAATGCAGTTATATGACAGTAAGATCACGCAATTGAAAATAAGTACAATATCTCATAAAATGCCAGAGAGGACAAGAACATACACCATTGAGATGAAGATATCTTGTGACTTGTGAAGTGACCTTGTCAGAAATAGCCTCTCTCTCTTTTTTTTGAGACCATGGTGCTAGTCCCAAATCCTTCATTTTTATGGTGAAGTGGTGATAACCCAGGATATGTGTTATCTTTTCTTTGGATCACCGGTGGATGGTAAAGAGCATTTCTCTGGTTGAAAGCTGCGACTCTCCAGAGGGCTTGGTACATCTCTGTCTCTGGCCTTGTTCCGCTAAACGGCTGCTCCATGATAGAAGTAAAAGAATCGTTGGCTACTTAAATTCAATGAATTGTTTTCGTTTCATCATTATTTTTGTGAGCAACATGCTGCCTACCTTTTTGCTGCCTATGCCTCTTTAGAATATTCCAGTTCAGGCAATCTTGATTGAAATTGGAACTGCAAAAACTCATTTAGAATGTATATTATGTGCGTGCATTTTTTTAAAAAAGGCAAATGGGCCATGTGTAGTTATGAACACACCACACTCTGATATGGTCAGATAAGTGATTGCGATTCAAGTGGACCAGTTTCAAATTTCATTTATTCCCAGTGGTTGCAGTAGTTCCTGTGGGGCTTGCATATTGATCTTGACAGCAGATGCAAAGTACTGATAAGCTGATCATTTTTCGTTTCTTAGTGCAAATCATTGATATATCTATATGAACATTTGAGGTTGGTTACGAATTGTAAAAATGCGCAGGATATATGTGGTTATCCGATTGAACAGGCTCTCCACTTATGAATTTGAGATCTTCCTTGAGTTTGTTGAACGAAGATGCCAATGAGAACAGTGTGCTTCAGCTAACAAAGTGATTCAAATCATTGATCTAACATCTGCAGTGTTACTATTGGTTTGACTCCTTCCAATGGCTCGATGATATCTGGAAATTACTCGGCACCAGTCTTGGCAGGGAATTAATCCATGCTTTGTTCTGTTGTCAGAAAGTGCTACCTGATAATGTTTGTACGTCTCTGATGAGGTGCTTTCATCTGATTTCTTTGTCATCTGATTCTTTAAGAAAAACTAATTGCAGCTGGAAATTCTTACAGTTACAGTTGTATCCAAGGGATCCCCAAACCCTGGACTTTGCATGTTGTAAAACTTTGTTTTCCCCCTACTTAATTGAAATCGGCAGAACTCCTGACCTTCCCCTCGAAAAAAAAAATCTTACAGTTGGTTCTCATCTAATTTGGTCATCATCTGATCCTTACAGAAAATGAAAGAAAGGATGCACGAATGATGAGCGTGTTCAATGGGTTTAATTCAAAATCGGTTATGAAGTTGCAATTTGACTTTCCCTTATTCCCTTTGTGAGCATGCGCAGTGTCAGGCTGAGCTGTTGTTCAATGAAGGTATGTGTCCACAGTGCATTGAAATGTATTTCTCTGAGATACTACTGATGATACTCATGCTGAGCTGCTAACCAATCTAGCTAGCTGCCTCCCCAGTTCCCTTAATATGCTGCAAATAGCAGCTTTTGGCATTTAACAGTTCCAGCGGCAGTTTGTTTGTATTTTGGCTCGTCAAGAACATGATATATTAAACTCAACACGGTGTAGAAAAAACATAAAGCAGAAGACAAAAATCTGATCTATGCATGTATTGTTTGTAGCTGTATAAGCATGTACTGTGCTACATTTGCCACGTCCCAGGCTTTGCATCCATGTGAGAATAATAAGCATGTGCATTTCTGTATTTCTTTTTGCGGGCTGAAAACAAATATAAAGAAATCAGGGAAAAAGAAAAAGGCAAACAACCCAGGCCAGCAAGATGTAAGAAGCATCAGTCTATCACGGGCCGCGAAACTCTTTTTGTGCGTGTCTCTATCTTGGTGCAAATTAAGAGAGGATTCTTCATTTGGATACTTTTTGTTTGCAAAGAGGGAGGGAGAGAGAAACATATATATTATAACTCTGCATAAATCTTGACTCATGTGAAACATTTACAGAAGTATTGCTTGACCATGGCATCTTCTTCCCCTAGGTACAGTTGGATCGAAGGGAGCGATCCATCCATGATCCATCATCCATGCATTTCTTCATGGAGATATAGTAATTAATCGATCGGTCGAGATCGATCGAGATACAAAATTAAAGCAGAGACAAAAAAAAAAAGAAGCAAAGAGATAAAATTCTGAAGGCCAGGCCAGCAGCTAGCAGCAGGCGGCGGCGTCAAAAATGATTTACAAGTAAGCAGCAATAATGTAATAATGGAGAAGAAGAAGAAGAAGAAGAAGAGAGGAGTCTAGGCCATGTAGGCTTGGTTGTAGGAGGAGTCCATCTCGTGGACGACGAGCTTCTTGGCCGTGACGCGCGCGCTGGTGGCGTTGTTGAAGAGGAAGACGCCGGCGTTGGCGTAGATGGCCTCCGTGGGGTACACCCGCGACGTCGCCGTGGACCTCCCCCCCTGCGCGAAGCTCTCGACGATGGAGTGGTCGACGAGCACCCGGAGGGAGAAGGTCTCGCCGTCGAGCACCGGGACGACGTTGCCGACGACCCTCTTGACGATGTCGTCGGCGTGCGACGACCTCGACTCGTCCTGGCAGAAGTGCGTCGTGACGCCGCCGTCGCTCCCCTTGGCCACGTAGAAGTACACGGCGGTCTGCTCCCCATCCCCGCGGTGGCGCTTGTCGGCGAGCACCAGCAGCCCGAAGGGGCCCAGGGCGCCCCGGCCGGCCGCGCCGCCGCTGGTGCTGCAGTTGTAGCCGACGTCGGCCTCGAGGACGGCGTCGACGGCGAGCGGGTCGAGCTGGAACTCGGCGAGGATGTCGAGCTGCGTGGCGCGGTGGAGGTTGAGCGGGAAGACGGAGGCGTAGTCGACGGTGATGCCGCCGAAGTCGGTGGAGTTGGTGCGCAGCGTCTCCACCTCCTCCACCGGCCATTGCAGCAGGTTGCTCCCCGTCTTGGTGTCCAGCTCCACCGTCCGAGGAATCGACTGCATGCCAATTTTTTTATTTTTACTAATTAGCTACTACTCCAGTAATTTAATTACACATGTTAATCATAATTATTATTACTATAGCTTGCTTCACATGAACCAAGCGATTTTGCATTATCTATCAGTACTGTGACAGCAAAGAAAATGAGAGCGGTGGAATTATATTGAAAAGCAAGCAAAAAAGACAGCCCTTTTTCTGGTGAAAAGAAAAGGTTGCAATCTATGAATCCCAGTTAAGTTGTGTGTGCAAATGATTTCAGTTAGGCAAAGCATCAGCAAAGACAAGCAGAATGCAGCTACAGCACATGGTTGCACATGAGTTATGGGCAAGGACAGCTATTCCTACTAGTAGTAACAGTTGCTAGGAGGACTATAGCTTGGACACAAGCAATTCCATCCATCAACCAATAATAATACGATCTGTTTATTATGTCAATTATTGCAAAAAAGGGTATCTCAACAGTTGCTCCGGTCGGTAGCTGAGCAGTGGGGCCCCAACAGGATATCCGCATTCATTCCTGGATGAAGCTAAGCGACATTTTGACAACCAACATGACAAGCTTTTTGTTTGTTCGCGTCATCTCTCTCGCTCTTCACAAGTGGCTGCCATTATTTGATTGCTACGCTACACTCCGGCAGGCATATGCATATGTACGTGTTGTTCGTCGATCCAACGTGTCAATGGAGCCCAGTAAAAGTGCACATATGCATGCCAATGATGCCTAGCTAATCATGCATGCTAGCTAATTACTAGTAGTAGCTGGATTAATTAATATATACTCCCTCCCTCCGTTTCGAGTTATAAGTTGTTTTTAATTTTAGTCAAATTCCTGCTTTAAATTTAACTAAGTTTATAGAAAAAAGTAGTAAAATTTTCACCCAAAACAAATATATTATAAAAATATATTTAATTATTGATTTGATGAAACTAATTTAATATATGTTTGTCCATGAACTTAGTTAAACTTAAAATAGTTTAGAGAGGTAATGAAGGTGTACCTGGAGGGAAGCCCAACCCTTGGCGACGTCGGCGCGCTCGGAGTCGGTCTCGCCGACCCAACCCCAGAGGACGCGGCGGCGCTTGGCCGGATCGTAGAAGGTCTTGGAGGCATAGAACTTGCCCCAGTCGTAGCGGAGGCCGATGCCGACGTCGGCGGCGGCGTCCAGCGGCGTCCACGCGTTCCTCGCCGGGTCGTACCTCCCCAGCGCGTAGTAGTCATGGCGATCGTCGTCCATGCTCGCCTTCATCACGTGCACCACCCCCTTGTTCCTCGCGTACATCGCCTCCGTCATGTCCACCCCCTCGCCGCCGGCCACCGGGTAGAAGTCGATGCACTCCCACATCCCCGTGGCCTCGACGCGGTGGAGGAGGCCCGGGAGGAGGTCGTAGGTGACGAAGTCGGCGGTGCGGTAGACGACGGCGATGCCGGCGTGGTGCTCGTCCTTGGAGCCGATGACGATCCGCCAGTCGCCGTCGGAGGGGTCGCGCCAGGCGGTGGTGGGGTCGCGGAAGTCGCGGTCGCCGATGGTGCGGGGAGGGTAGAGGACGGGGTTGGCGTGGTACTTGGTCCAGTTGGTGAGGAGGGGGTCGTCGGGGTCGGAGGGGACGGCGAGGCACTGGACCTGGACGGAGGCGTTGGTGGAGCCGGTGTAGAGCATGGCGAGGCGGCCGTCGGGGAGGGTGGTGGCGGAGCCGGTCCAGACGCCGTTGACGTCGTACCACTGGTCGGGAACCATGGCGAGGGGGAGGTGGCGCCAGTGGACGAGGTCGCGGGACACCGCGTGCCCCCACGCGATCTTGTTGCCCCACACCGCCCCATCCGGGTTGTACTGGTAGAACAGGTGGTACCAACCCTTGTAGTACACCGGACCTGCATTGCATTTCCAATGTTAATTTGATTATATAATGTAATTTGAATTTTATCTATCTAAAAATTATTGTAATTCGAATTCTACAATGCCTGGTCGGTTGGTGCGGTTGGAATCTTAAGGGTATCTCGGTTTTCCTTTTTTATTTTTAAATCTTTTCTCAAAAATAAATAAAAAAAAAGGAAAATGGGGCTGGAAGAATCTTAACCATAAAACGTTCCTCCAAAATGGGAATTTATTTAATAGCATTTGAATGTTGTCAGATCTAGAAGAACGAACGAACAGAGCGGAAGGAATGAACGAATTGAGATGAGAACAATCAATCGATCGATCGAAGAAGGAAAATAAAAGAAAAAAAATGCAAAGAAATTAAGTACCGTTGGGATCGTTCATCCAGTTCCTCTCGGGCTGGAAATGGAATCCGGTGCGCTGCCATTGCAGCATCGCGTTGCTCCACGGGAACGCCTCCCCACCCGCCGCGCCGCCCATCAGCCTCACCATCTCCTCCGCCCCCGACGTCTTCTCCGACACGCCGGACTCCGGCCCCCTGCTCGCCATCTCCATCTCCACCACCCCCGGGACGACCATCGTCGTCGTCGCGGGGCGCCCGGCGAGCCTGACGCCGGAGAGGACCGCCACGGCGAGGATCACCGCGGCGGAGGCGAGGAACAGGGCGACGCAGAGCGGGCGCCTCCGGGAACGGCGGGCGGCGGCGAGGTCGGCGGAGGCGGCGTCCCCGGCGGGGAGCGGCGAGTAGGAGTAGGGAAGCGCCGAGGCGTCGGCGACGTCGTCCCGGGTCTCCATGATCGTCGCGTCGCCGCGAGATGGATATAATATTAGCACAAGAAAGAAAAAGGGAGGAGAGGAGAAGAGGAGATTAGTTTGC